CAGTCATTGTTTGGAAAGTCTAACGTGTTCTGGAGCCTTGAGTCATATCTCAAGTTAGGTTCAAACAACAACATGAGGATCTACGATGTTGCAGACGTGCTGGTTCAAACGCTGGTGAGTCATTAACAACCATCGAGGACGTCCAGTCTGAGCAGCAGATCCATGTTTTCAAGGCTTCTCCCACTTCAAAATACACACCAGCAGTTTGTTATAATGTTACATGCTCTCTTTTTGGTTTTGGAGCTAAAGTTGATACTTGATCCACTGCTTACCTTTTTTTCCCATCTCAGGTCAAAAGTTGAAGTTAACTCAAGAGTCATTGGTGTTCAAGTGAGATTTAAAGTCAAGTGAAGTGCAGGATTTGAATCTACACCTCTGGAGCATCAGACACATGTACAAACCATGTGATTACTGCTTTCGTGCATCTGCATTCTAAAAGATGTTTTTGTCGCCCTTAAACCCAACCTGTCCATTTTTGTCAGTTTCTACTCCGATGTGAACTCCAGCAGATCCGTTCAGCGCCATCCGCAAGCTGTCATTTCCCCATCACACATATAACATCCTCACTGACAATAATGTATGCTTTACACGCCTGTCTTTTGTAAATTATTGTTATGTTTTGTCCACTGCTTATTTTGAGGATCTTTTCTTTTCTTTGTGAATTGGATAACTGTGGGTATTCAGTGGAGGAAATAATGAAAATTCCTTGAGGTTAGCTTGTTGCAGGAGAGCTTTTAGTGCGTGGTCTGTGCCCGGGTTCACGTGTGGGTACCATGTCCCAGGGAGGTTATAACGGGCTCCGGACGGGCCACTTTGTGTTTATTTGCGTGTTCAAGGGCATGTAATTTGTGTTTACGGTATGTGAATTTATCTCCCCTCTTGTTTACTGTGGCCTGCTCTTTCTCCCTGCAGCACATGGGCTGTCTGAACCCAACTGCTGTACAGAATATGTGCTAACGTCTTTTTGTGTTTTTCACCTCCTCACCTCATCTTCCATCCGCTACAGGAGGAGGACTTTCAGGAGATGCTGAGCACCGCCCAGACGATGGAGACTCAATACGGTCATCTGTTTGAGAAGGTTATTGTCAACGATGACCTCTCGGCGGCCTTCAGCGAGCTGCGCTTGGCACTGAAGAAAGTGGAGACGGATACTCACTGGGTTCCAGTCAGCTGGACTCACTCCTGAGACACTACACTGACTGTTTAAGGAGAAAAGGGAAGGGCTTCAAGAGAAATATGCAGGTTTTTATCTTTTTTATATCTGCTGCGGCTGGTGTTTGGGGGATAACGGGAATAAAACAAGACAGCGCCAGACTGCTGTGTCGCCATACCTGAGCTGCACCCAGCTAAAAATAAGCTTTTGCCCGGGATCAGGTTGGATTTAGACCTCAGCTGCGGTCTGGATGTGGATCTCCAGGTCTGACCAGATCTGACAGGGTTGCGGCTAAGGGCTCCTGTCCAGAATATGGGCCTTGGACATTGATCTGGGTCTCAGTCTGGGTCACACAACCATGGCCACAAGTTGGAGCTTCTTGGTCCAAACCAGAATGCGGAACGAGCCTGGACCATCACAGCACCAGCAGTCCTGCCAGCACATCAGTAATCTGGCCGACCAGGACTCCTTCTTTAGTGTGTTTATAACATTAGACCATTAGAAACCAAAGGGATTGACGTATTTCTTCTTGGTGGACAACTTACATGCACATGTCTGTAAAAGAACACTAAGGGGAAAACGAGGAGAAAAGAAAACATACTTGCCTTCTGTCTTTCTGTATTTCTGGGCTTCTAAAACGCTTCCATGACTGCTACTCCAAACAACACTGTCAGGTACACTCAAGAAAGGGCAATAAGTGTAATTTTATTTAAAAGAAATTAATATATTTTCTAATATCTTCCAGTAGTTTTTTTGAATACTTTTATACACAGTTCTAGACTTTAAGAGCAACCTGATCTCGACTGTAGCCGCCTCTGTGACAGATTTTTTACATCTCTTCTTTCAGTCAGCTGTTTTGATTTCATCTCGCCGGTCTAGTTTTCCCTCTACAAAGTGCATACAGAGCTATTTTATTTAGGTGTTGTATATTCCATTCAGCAGCGTTTTGAAAAGCCACCCTTTATGTGACGGTGCCCAGCATAACAGCTTTGCCATTTAAAGTCCCAGAACTGGACACTCTTGGCTGTCTGCTAGAAGAAAATGTTCACAATTGTGTTTTATTAGGGTGGAGTCTTTATTTTTACTCACATAAAAATGGCTTCAGCGAGGCTGCTAATAGTGGCTCCATAGCACACTTCCAGGATTTTAACTTAAGTAGCCGCTCCTGACTTTATGAGCATTAGGAGTTTATTGCTAATTTGAGTCACCCATTCCCAGTCTTACTCATTTTTTACTCAGTCCTTTTCTTTCTAAGCTTTTATCATAGATATGCTTAACTTTAACTTCTGGAACACTGATTTCCAAAGCAGCTCGCCACCGTAGACTGTTACAAGCCTGGTAGATGGAGGGGCTGCTTTCTTGCTGATGCTGAGAAGAAGAAGGTGGATCGGCCACTTTCAGGTCTGTAGGTACAAACCTAGAATCATGAGGCCAAACTTTTAGTCTTGCATAGAGATTGGAAACAAGGAAGAACGGCGAACCTGCCAACACGTCTGAAGTCATGGTTTTAAGAAGTTGTTTCTGCTTGTGAACAAGAACCAGGCCACGCCATATCTTTCCCCTGGACTGAATCTAATTATAGGTGGGCCTCTGTGGTATCACCCATAGGTTTCCTGAAGAGCAGCTTTGACGTTCCAACCATCACCATCTTCAACACAGTCTCAATCACAAAATGTATATCGGTCCACAGCACAAATGTATCACAGTAAAGGGAGTAAAACTGTGGGATGCCTACGTGTTTTGGCCTAATATTTTCTACTGGACTGCATCTACTTCATGTGTCTCACAAGTTTCTTTCGCTTTGCACATAAAAACAGCAAAAAAGTCACATTAGCTGGTAGCAATAACCACTGGACTGTCAGACAACAGACTGAAGTTTAAGTCCCCAATGAGTCCAGTCTGTTTTTGTGTTGTATTTGCACTTTTGTGTTCACTCGCTGTTTTCTATCATTTTTATTTGCTTTTTGCTGCGGTTTACATGGTAAAACTACTTGGTCAGTCTCAGACATCAGCATATTTTGGGTTAAACTACAGCCTGTGCTCGCGCTAACAACAAAGCTGCAACTGTCTTGGTAGTTCAGATGATGAGTCCCACCGCAAGAATAGTCCTGAAAAACCCTAAACATTTCAGAGCGTTTGTTTTGGGGTTTTTTTGTAAAAATAATACGTTTTGCGCTGTGGACCAACACAGATTTACATCAGACATGGCCGAGGCAGCTCAGTCTCACACTGACCTGCCCTGGCAGTACTTTCACAAGTTTTTTCTTCTCGTTTCCAGTCTGCTAAGCTACGCTAATTGCCCTCGCGCTCTAGATGCATGTTTAACATACAGACCTGTAAGTGGCATCAGTTGTTTCACCTAAGTCTCAGTAAGAAAGCAAATAAGCCCAAAATGTCTAAATTATTACCGTAGTTTTTTAAACTTAGATAAAACGGCCACCATATTGTAGGAATGTAGGAATCAAAGCTCAGCTCAGGTTAACAAATTCTCTTCATGTGCATTTATTTGACCATTTCTACCTACTGTCATGTTTGCATACTTGATTTCTGTCCGTGTTTTTAAAAGGATAACGTGAGTGTTGCTGCTGTTCATTATAACAGAAGTTAACACATCTTAAAGGGACTTTAACACCCCTCAGCCCTTTACTTGGCCCATCGCTTTTTATTAGATTAAGCCCCCTTTTCATACATTGTTTTCTTTGTCACATCTGCCGCCTCTTTTATTGAACAGAATCCGATTTGTACAGTCTCCAGAAAATGTTTTAAATTTCTTGCTGTAAATGATGTGCTGTTGTATGAATTGACATTATTCTTGATAACTGCTACGTTTTGTATTAAAGAAAATGCAACTAAACTTGTGTTTCCATCTGATATCTTTAACTGGCCGCAGAGTGAGAGCGGTGATGTGTGAGAAGGAAATGAATGAGACATATATTCCAGTGTTTCGGGGATTTGCCCCTGAGTGCTATTCACATCTATCTTTGTTTGATTTTGAGGAAAATATTCCAGGAATATCTTGGGTAACACATTTCATCTTGTTAATGACAGAACTAGAGAGCAGTAAAAGTCACTCACGGCCTGTTTTTCTCACTCATGGGCCATTCCAGCTGAATTAGAGTATTTTCCCTACAATGCAATCATCATTAATTTATGAATTCTGTATGGTTATTTGGTGTTCCAGTTGCTCGCTTGGCCTCCGTCTCCACAACCTGACTTGTCAAATGCAGGCTTTCACTGTATTTGTCATCCTCGCTATTACATGATGTCACTGAACAGTAGCTTTACTTCTGTTTAGACTCATTTATTGCACATTTTAAACACATTTCCTGAGATTTTGCAAGGAAAAAATGCAAATTAACTAATGCAGCGTTCTAGCTACTGCTGTCTTGCAGACATTAGACGTTGGGTGTATTGAAGTTTGTGATGGAGATGTGTCATGTGGTTGTTTATACAAGAAATGTCAGGGTTTTTTCTTATGTGTAAATTAAAAGTGTACAAAAAACAGGTGGATAGAAACAGTTGTTACCTAAACATCCAGGCGGAGTATGAGCTCCTGAGAGAGATGCTATAGATTTGTTGGATCGAGACTGAAGGAAAGGCCCTGAATCCAGTGACTGCTGAAATCACCAGAACAGTGCAACCCAATTAAACCCCAGCGTCCTGCTGCAGCTGCGTGCCAAATTGCTAACTCAGATGTCGCAGGACCTTTGAAAACGGTGCTTCTGTGAACGGGTGGAGTCGGTGGGGGTGGTAAAGGAGGCCCTAGAGGAGTCCGGCCTCCTACCAGCAGCTCACTGGAGGTTTCGGCAGGCCTCCGCTTGATGGTGTTCCAAAGAAATCCCCCACCGGTCCGGATCAGGTCGCCTAGTCTTTTCCACAGTGCTCACTTTGATAGCTGTGCAGAGCAGGATAAAGATGCAGTAAGGTGGGGGGAAGTGGAGGAGGAGGAGGAGGAGGAGGAGGTGGTGGGGAAGGTCAGGAGGAGGTAATGACTCTCACTCAGGCCAAAGGGAGGAAGCAGTTATTCCATATCTTGCTCTCTTTTCACATGTTTCTTTCATTCTGTTATCCTAATTAGGAGGACAGAGTGAAGGGGGGAGATTTGAAGGCTGCTAGCGTTGCGTACAGGAATACGGCGCTCGCCCTCGATGCCCTCTGAGCTGAGGCCGCCCGAGTGAGTGAGTAGGTGAGTGAGCATGGTTTTCCCCTTCCAGAAGCCATCAAGCTCAATGATCCATGTTTAACACAAGACAAATGCCACCCCGAGTTGTCCTGCGTAGGTCAGCGGTTGAGGGAATGCTTGGACAGTGACAGCCATAGACGTTCTGGAGGTTCTAAGTGAGTGTTAATTGACCCTGTTTCCTCTCGCATTGTAATACCAGAGGCAGTCCAGACCTTTTTAAGCAAGAATCTCATGAGTATAGGTGTCCTGGTCGCAGACTTGATGGAGCCCACAAAGGTTTCTCAGTGGAGTTTGAATCCTCCCTCTGAGGTCCTGTTTCTCTCCACAGCTTCTACCCGCTCTACTCAAATTCACGTCTTCATTCACCCAGTGTCTCATCTGCTGTAGCTTTTTCCATGTGTTTATTTGACTGCGCCTCACTGGAGGTGTCACGGGTGTCAAGATATGTTTTGATAGCACTCCGATTGCCCTACAAGGGAGTGACGCTCCCTGGACTCCCGAGGTCTTTTCTCCGTAACAAACGATGAGCTCCTGACGCAGTGTCACGGAGGGTAGTGACAGACGCGCTGTTTTCATTCTCGGTTCCTTGACGTGCCATCAGCCTGCACCTCAAGGAGCCACGACACTGTGAGAGCGATGAGAGGGCTGCAGCAGCCCGGATGCTGTGCTTTACTCACTCCCAGCTGAGGAGGACAGAAACATGTGTTCGCAGATTAGGTTTCCCCAGACATGGATAACAAAGGGAGAGGAATCAACCACATATGCCAAGGTACTTTAGGTGAATGATGATGTAATACTGAAAAATACTACGTGCGTACATGTGAGTCTGCGTATGATGAAGAAATAGTAAATGGCATTGCCCTACAGTAAGTAGTAGCAAAGAAGGAGACGCTTTCATAAATCTTCATATAGCTCTATAAAAGTCTGCCTGCAGCCCCTGACTGATTTAAGATAACAAATCTCCCTCTTCCTCCTTATTCATCTCTCTCTCCGACATCCCTTAAGGAGCGAGCTGCCATGTGAGTAAAGGCCAAGCGATGGCTTCCCCAGCTCAGACACGAACACCGGCGCTCACCAAATCAAAGACCAGCTCTCCGTCTATTCCCTATTCGTTCTGACGACTATAATAGTTTAACAGAATGTGTGAGGAATCCAAGGATTTATAGTAAGTAAAGTTCTGCTTTTATCTCAGATCCCAGAGATTAATGTTGCCCCTGTTGCACTGCAGTAAGATCCCATGAATCGCTCGCTTTCCTTTTGATGTATTTATTTTCATGTCCATAAATCCATGCATTAACTGAACCCATTGTTTTAGAGACGAGGGCCAGAGCCAGACAAGTGGGGGCAGGAGGAGAAGCTGTGGAAAAATCAGAAGGCCCGTCCTGTCCCGGACCCAGCGACATGTCACGGGGGTTCCTACGACGTCCCCCTGACGCATTTCGGAAACCATTAAAGTGAAATGTCTCCGTCTCGCGTTACGATAGACGCTGCAATCATTCTGATTTACTGCCTGAAAATTACAGCGTCAGGGCCAATATCCTAAATGGAGCTCAATGTGATAAGCTCGGCCTTTGTAACATGACAAATTGTACACCATGAGAATCAGAAGAATGTAGTCTGCGTAAGAAGGACGGGGACTCCTGCTGAGAGTTCTCATCTTTTTCTGAGTCTCTCGCTTCACTTTCTCCGTCGTTCCACCATCCTGCCTTTGCCCAGTCTTTTATGTGGTGACTCAGTCCATCACCACGGCTTTACCATCGGAGCCAGCCTGTGATGCTGCTCTGTTTTCCTCATCCCTGGGTAAATGCCCTTGACCATAGGGAGATCGTACTGTAGACTAATGGGGCTTCAGGCCAGGAGCTTCCGCCCACCCTGTCTCCTCAGCCTAATTAGCCTCACCATTACCTCATGTCTGTAGGCACAGGTCTTCGGGCCACGTTACCTTGAGCTGTATTTCTCAATTACAGGACTTTAGGAAGCGGAGGGTGGGGAGTGAGATGTGAACAGGGGATGCCCTTCATCCTCCCCTGGCCTGAAAACGCCTTTTCACACTGATGAGAAAGTGTGGAAATCATAACAACACGCTCGGTCTAACAGCCGTAGCGCGGTTGGTCATTAACACAGCGTGGCGTATGTATACACTCCCCGCTGAGGCTGCGCAGGTCGACTCAACTCTGAGCGTGCGTTTGAAAATGAGCCCAAGGGGTAAAAGTTCACGTGGAGGGTCCTCGCAGCTGAAGAATTCCTCTGACACATGTGGAGCGAAAGCAGGGTCCAGGGGCCGAGGTCGCACACAGGCACTGACTATGTTCGGGGAGTTCAGAGCTGTCCACCTGTATTTTCTTAAACTTTCGCTGTGTCCTTCCCCTGAGCCGTATTGGCCTCTACTGAAGCAGTTTTAATTACGCAGATTCTGAACTGTCATCTTTAAAGCTAGAGAGCTGTGGAGGTCAGGACCTTCCTTGTGTGTGTGCAACAAATTACTCTCAACGCTGCCATGATTTCCCCTCGTTAGGGTGAGTGAGGAAGACAAAAAGTATCACCTGCTTTCCAAATGTGTCTGTTGTCATTACAATGAAGCATTCTTTTAATAGTCCGTATTATCCTGATGGGCTTCCAGCGGTGCCGTCATTTGAACAAGTTCGTGCAGCTTTGTAAAACCCAATACATGCAAATGTAAGTACCAAAACAGTGTTACTCCATCTTCCAACCATACACCATCCAAATGGAATGTAGCGGAGCGTCCAGCTGAGGTACGAGAGCCCGGCAGCAGTAGCCATGCTGACCCTGTGTAATGACGGTAAGTGGATTACAAGGAGGCCCTGGTCACTGGTCATTAATACTGAGTCCGCTAGAGTTACCTCCATGTGGCAGCAGCTCCACCACAGGGACGGAGCCCAGGACCTCCGAGACACCTGAGAAGCTCATAGCGCTGTGTCGGGCCTCAGATGAGCTGACGGCGCTCTGAAACTGCAAAGGACTTCAGGAAGACCAAGAGAGATCAGAGAGGACAGGTTTTGGAGGAAGGGTTGATTAGTTCTTACCTGTGAGGCCAAAATCATACCACTGCTGGCTTCGTAGCTCTCATTAGGTCAGATCTGAGTTACAGTGATCAAAAGCTGACCCAAGCAGGAAGTGGTGCAATACAGCAGTAATGACAATAACTGGGACATTTAAGGAATAACATACTGAAGTCATGTTAATAATACACATATGATAATGTTGTTAATAATCCAATGATTACCTGGTTAACTGTCCCACATAGGAACAACATACAGTACAGACATGGTTATAGACTCCCTACACGCATTTCCAAAAAAAGAGACTATAAACTAAGTAAACGAGGATTTGACCGCTAGCATTTTTTTTTTTCAAAGTTGCTGTTACAGGATCTGTTTTGTGCTAAGTTTGACTTTCATGAACTTGTAGCCCATCGGCAAATCTTCATGACAGTGCTGACCTCCAAGAGGACACGGCCAAAATGGAAGAAGCTAATGTAGCTAAGCCTTATTCACGGAAAGAAAACTGAGTCTCATAACAGGAATGGTAAACAGTTGACTATCAGAGGTCAAAGAAGCTGATTATATAAAGGTATATATTCAACTGTGTGAAGCTAATAAGTTGCTGTCTGCTAACCTCTTGACCGTCAGCTTCTAGCACCACCTATTTTG